TGATCTCGCTTTGCTGTTGCCTTTGTTTTTGTACGTCTGGCTGTCTGCCCATCTGCCGCCTCGTTGTCCTGTTTGCTCCGTTACTCCCATGCCCTGGTGCGTAGTGCCTGGTGCTGGTACGGGTCCCTTTGATTTTTTCTTTGGGCGGGTGTGGGAAGCGTTCTCCTTTATTTTTGTTTTTGTTTTATTTTGATCGGTTCCCGAAGGCTCTTTTCTCGAACGGTCGGTGCGATACCTGTTCTTTTCTCTCGATCATTGTGTTTTCTTTTCCCGAGTGGTTTGTACCCTAATTTTGTTTTGTTTCCCCGCGGCGTCGTATGTGCCGGGTTTTGAGACCACGGGCTCCCCATTTCTTGTGGACTATAGAGCTAATGTGAGAAACAACAAAAACAACAAACACCCAACACCTGTATTCAGGAAAAAAAACGGAGAAATAATTGACAACACAAGAGATGTTTGTCCGTGCGCCACGGTTCGATGCAGTCCGCCTGCTCCGGTTCCGCTGCTCCGGTGCCGCTGTGGCCGGTCCTAGCACGACCAAACTCGACCCCCCGCTCCGCTTCGTACACGCTCTCGTTGCTGTCCTTCCCATATTCCTCGCTTTCTCCCTCGTTGCACTTAGGGTTCTTGGTCTGAAAATTCTCCCGCCGAAGGGGTCAACCAGCCCAATCAGCTCGTCACCACCTGTCCCCTCCTCCTTTGATGGCAAAACCAGGTTACTGAGACAGTACAGCTCCCTCTAGCAAACCGAGGGCCGTGTACATAGTGCCGGTCCACCTTTCTGATGACGTCTGCCTCCGCGCACAAAGATGAGATGGGCATTGCTGCCTACACCGACGGCCTGGAGGCCCGCGCATCTGCACCTTTGTACCTGACGCACCAGTGCCGACCCAACTCCACCACTACGCACGCCTCGCGGCGGGTGCGCCGCAGCAAGAAGGTATCGGTCCCTTGAGGGTGAGTCTAGTCCTGCTCGCTAGAAAGACACCCCCCCTCGCTATGGGGTATGCCTACGCAAAACCTTGCCGAGGCAGCGAGGGGAAGAAAGGGGGTTAAGCGTACACAGGATCCATGCGAACGAACAAACAACCCCTACACTCGTTCCGAGGCCCAAAGGCACGGAACACGGAGACAAGTCACGGATACTGCTTCCTTCGTACACGGATGTCATCGACATAGCAGGTATCTTGGCAAAGCGGTTCCCACTCGCTGGCGTGAGCGGTCGGACCACCTGTGGCGCCGCCCCGCTGCACACCCTCTCTCTGTTTCTGCTTCCTCTTTTCTTGGTCCGAACATCGAAAGTCCTGCCATCTGCCTTCGGTATGTAGCAGGCTTACGCTACCTCGACGTCAGGATCTTTCAGTCGCGTCGCCTGAAACAGGGACAGCCGACGTTTTGCCTGTAACAACCTTGTTTGTATCGACGGGTGTCCTTCCTACCCCCCTCTTGCCGATGCCGATGCCAGTCGATTGAGGAAAAAGAATATGTGCGGTTGGTAACCGCGTGTAGTCGGTTAGAATAGTCGCTGTCTCGAATCCAACGCCGAAAACAACATCACTCGTTCCTGGCGAAAGGAGCAACGACTGCATGTACACTGCTGCCCTGGGCGCCATGCCATGCGTCGTCCACCCCAAGCTCTCTCAAGGGCCTTCAAAGAACTTGATCTTGTGAGCCGTGAGATGGCGTTTACCTGTAGCCCGATCGCTTACGATTGGGCGTCTCTCACAGGAGTCCCTTTTGCTCTGTGCGACAGACCTCCACGTTTACTTTTACTATTTACGCAGATGCATGCCACATGCCACAATGGCAAAAAGGTGCACGTGGTACATCAAGGTGCCACACCAAGTTAGTAGGCACCTACCTCACGGAGGTAAATGTGCATGGTAAATAGTTGTCTCCATTTTTCCTCTTGCTATGCACAAAGCAAATTATTAATACCAGTTATTTATCCTATGGTTAACATCCGTGTCCTCCGTGTACCTATGCATTTGACGCACCATAGAAGTCCACCAGACCAGTGAGCATTTTGCAGCTGGAGTTTTGGGTGTCGGTCCCAGGTGGCAGCAGCAGTACAGTCTGGGTACCGGTTTAATGGTTCCCTGTTTAACGGGCTGCCCTGAATGGCGGTCCCAAAATCTCGTGGCATGGCTGCACGTCGGTACTCAAACTGCAATACAACTGCCAATCCCGTTTATCGGCGATGGCCTCAACAGCATTTACAACTTTTTGGGAAAACGGCATATGCTGCGGTATGCGTACCATGCAAACAGGACGATCACCATGGGTAAGAACAATGCTGCTGTGGACTCTGTACGCAGACGTGGAATTATTTTGTTTGGTTCCGTTGAGGCTCGCTGGGCTCTTCGACCAGAGCTGTTGAGCTCAAGTTGGGAAACGTCGCCACTGCTGATCCTGTTGCCTGCCACTTGAAGTGTCGTCTTGCATCACTGCTGCTGATTTGCTTTCGTGAGCCCCTCGGAAAGAGCGATCCGTTGCACGTGGGCATATGCATCACGCACAAAAAAACACTTCAAGGAAAGAAACTAATGCGCATACACCGGTGAGCTTGGAAGAGAGCAGAAAAGGCGTCACCGCCCTGCCGTATGTAGACGTTGTACATGGTTATTTGTGGTACGAGTTATTTACAAACATGATCAATCCAGACAGACCGCAGGCCCCGCTGTATCCCAAAGTTATATGAAGCATGTACCAGTATTTACGTATTAAAGTAAGAATTTGCCGCAGACCCACTTGCGGCAAGAGATGGCAGACGCATGTGGGAGGTGAAGTGGAGGGTCCTGATGGAAGCAGTCGAAAATAGCAGTGTGGTGCCCCTCTCTTCAGGGTCTCGCGTTGACATCAGTGGGAATGTTTGTTCCGTCTGCCGAGTCACTTGGGCTCTTGTCAACACCATCAAGCTCCCAAAAATAGACAGCTCACGTTGGAGGAGAATTTTGAATTGAAAATGTCTACCTGGTATGTTTGGTCTCTCGATGATCGATGATTGAAAGTTTCGTTTGGTGGGGGGCGTACCTGCATAGACGACACCCCGAAGCCGACATCGCTGTCCTCGCCATCTTCAGAAAACTGGGGTGGGTGATGGTGACGAGGATACACGGGAGCGGCAGAGGCATGAGTACACTGCCGTTAGTCGTGATCAGGGACACAGCACACCAAATGCCCCACAAACACCAATGGAGTAGGCGCGCACCTCCGGAGAGGGGCAACCAAAACCGACAAGCGACCGAATTTCCGATGTTCGACAAGAGGGACAAGAACAGGATACAGCAGCACATTTCCAAAACCTCTGCTCTTGCGGAGGGAATACTTCGGCGACTAACCTGTGTATAGATCCTTCGAGAGGGTCTACGCCGAAGCTGGTGTTGTGCACAGTGGAGCTGGCGGATCGGTGGTCATATCAACAAGCGGAAAAACCGCCACAAAAAAGCAGCGCAATATTATTATTTTTAGCGCAGTATTGTATGTAGCTCGCTGACTTCAGGCAGGCACGCGTTCTTCTGACCTTGGTCACACTCGGCTTGCTCAAGAAGACTCCCATACCAACGAGGCGTGGGACGAAGGGTGTGTGTGTGAAGCCTCAGGACGGTAGTCTTGCTTGTGCTCAGCGGCTTGCTTCTGCCTTGCGTGTTGCGCGTGTCTGATTCCTTCGCCAAACAGCAGCAGTTTCTTTCAGGGGGTACGCGGCTTTTTATGTGCATACCTTTGTATTGAATGCCAGCATCCGCGGCACCCCGCCGTACCATGTTGCTTGTTCTGTTCGCGAATCAGCAGTGCTCAAGGATCTCTCTACATCTCTCTTGGCAGCTAAACGAGGGCGGGAAGGCAGTGTTCCTTGCAAGTCCCCGCGCTGAGCCGTAGCAGGCACATTGAACGGCCTCCGCTCTCTCCACGCTGCGCTATTTTCACGTTTTCGCGGTGTGAGCTCCAGCAGCCGGGTGAGGTTCGTGAGCGGATAGTCTAATGCCGAGAGCTATCCAGCTGCCTCTACTTGGCAGCAAGCTTGAAACAGTAAGCAGCAAACGCGCACGATCCACACATCCACACGTGCACCGATCACACACGCAGGCTGGTGTCGTGCATGGCATCTTCTACTGCAAGAGGATGATCTTTGCAAGCCGGCTTGGCCTCCTGTTCCTTTGAATAATCCATGCCTTTCCCCGCCGACAGACTGCACCCGCATATAAATAGGAACATTATGGCGGCAGATCAACAACACATGGATGTCATCGACGCGGCAAAGGCTGGTGACCAGCATCGGCTGCGCAGCTACCTGGATGAGCGGAACGGCGACGTGAATCTGCGAGACGACTCAACGCAGGGCACTCTTCTCCACGTGAGTCCTGCCCCACGTTGCTGTTGTTGAAAAAATTACCAACAATATTGCTTCCCAAAGAGTCGGCTTACCGCCGGTTCATTTCGATCATCGATTGCATCAGCTTTTCCTTCTTTTGCCTGGATGAAGACCGGCACACACAGACGCCTACCACCTTTATCGCAGAAGGCAGAAGACAATACGCGGCCATCAAAGGGGAGAGATAGCCCCCCCCCCGCTGCTGTTTTCTGCCCTGCGTACTCTATCTACGTACATTCAACACACCGCCATCATAGTGTTGATTCCGGAACTATTATTATACCATCTGTCGTTTCCTGAAATTTCTTCCGAATTTCGGAAGCTCTATGCCAGTCTATGTGACCTGTATCTGTGCAGGTGCCGTCAGCACATGCTGGTGTACCAGACGGCTGTACCGAGAGTGCTGCTGCTGTACTATACATGTTAGGAGTGCCGTTGCGGAGGTTCTTTTTTGTGCTATCTATGCACACGCTACAAGAGGTGCGGGAGGCGATCTCCTACTCACTGACCTCCCCAACTCACTCACTGTCTCTCCCTCTCCGATGAGAGGAGGGAGATTGTGAGAAGTGTTCCCTCTGAGCTGTTATGAATAAAGGTATTCGGGGTGTGCATAAATTTCGTTCGGTATGGAGGGCGACTCCATGAAAAATGCTGCTGCTCTCGAAGAGTTGCTGAGGAGCTGCAGCAGCATGTAGTTACTGCCCTTGTCCGTCGTCGGCACATCCGCAATTGAGCAATCGAGAACCAAGGAGTGGGGTGTGGCGTCTTCAACGGGTGCTATTGCAGTGATTTAGTAGCTCCTGATGCGGTACTGCTGTAGTTGATGTTCAAGCAGGCACAGAGCGCGTTGCGAAAGCATTACTGCCAAAGCAACAGCATAGACTAATCTACTGCTCACACGAAGGATTGCGCACTTCTCGCCAATAAAGCACGCGCTCCATCCATTCAAAGCCAGAGAAAGTGGATCGATCCCTTGCCCAAGATATGTTTGTCCGCCATTTCCCAACGTTACCATGATGCAGTATTGTACTGCTACTGGTTAACAGCCGTTTCAGCCGCATTTTCGAACTCCGTGTCGACGGCACCGCCGGATCTCTCTTCACGAACAATGCTCGGCTAAACATTTTGTATCGGAAACACCGCACTATTGCCGATGGCATCGTCATTACCTGTCTGTGTGGGTACCACTGTTTTACACTGCATTCTCACAGCAGTATGAAATGTAAACCAAACCCTTTGACCGAATGTTCAGACCTTGATTCCTCTGCAGCAAACACAGCAGCACTGCTGTTGTACAGTAACCGCGCCGAATTGTACGGCTTCACTGACGGGATCAACACGGACTCGCGATCTTTCCGAACACGTACACAATCATTTTTGATATCTATACCGCATTACTGTTCGTCGGCAACATCCAGCGGTACATGCACTCGTGGTCAGGAGTTTACCCTGACAAGTAGATGGGGTCGACGTGGGCTTGTCGTCACACCCACAACCCAAAACCCAGAGTTCCCACAGCAGGAAGTACACTACATGACAGACTACGCTCCCGATTGGTGAAACAACAACCGCTGGGCAGCCGATACACCCGGAACATATAAATACATCCAACTCCTACCCGGTCGCATCTTTCATGCCATACCATGTCATGATATTTGGGTCGAAGTTCACAAAACGGGATTATATGCCTTGTGCAGATTTTCGGTTTTTCACTGAATCATCTGGCTCTTGTCGATGAATCTCTCTGACACTTCGTCTGCGCCAAGCCTATCCTAACCCTAGTAGTAGTCTAGTTGGTCCCCTAAAACCCCCTAGTGGCCAGGATCAGGGGGTTGAACCCCGCCGTAAGCGATTCTTGCGAAGTGAAATTTTCTCAAGCTTCCGCTCTTGGCCTGGGTGAAAAGCGCTACACAGTTCGTGTGTGCAGTACACAGAGGGAAGAGAGTGCTGCACTCTTCTCGCTTTAAGAATTGAAGGCAAAGACCTCAGGAGGGGTGAGTGGGGGGCTCAGGGAGAGAAGGCTTCTTCTGCGACCACGGGTTGAAGTAAACGGCACAAGTGCTGTGAGCGCTAATTTGAAGTGAAGACAAAAAAAAAGCCAACATACCAAATGCAATGTTGGACGGAAACGAGCCCTCCGACGTATTGAGATATGCATACACGCATACACCAACCCCTGATGAGAACACAACGAGCTACCGCTGATGCCATGGGTTCATTGCTAACCTCTCCCAGACTTTTGTCTGCTTCTCACAAAAGGAAACGAAGTTGTTGCGTCATGAATATTAAGTTAGAAGAGAACGTTCGTCCCGTGATTGCACCCCGGGCGAAGAATCCTGATACAGCAGCAGTAACGACGTCTCGACGGGGCACGTTGAATGATTACTGGGTTCTAGGCCCTGGACACCCAGTCGACAAGCCAGAAATAGTCCTTGTTCTTCTAGTTCTAGGCCAAGCTTTCCGTTGGCCTGGCCACACGCAAGAGCCATGGAATAGCTATGATACATTCAGAACCTGTGTTGCTGGCACGGTTGCGAAGCATATCTTGTTAAGTAAGTACGCATATTTTGTTGCCATCGCTTGCGACAGACTTGCGAAAGTTGTTGTATGCATATCTGTAGAGGTAATTGATTTTACGGGAATCGGGATCTTCAGGACTGGGTCGCTCACAGCGCAGGGGGGCGATTCGACCCCCTCTGAAAACAGTACGTTAACTTCGCGCCCTCATAGCGCGCGCCCAGACGCACGGCGAGACTCGCGCCTTCGCACGGTGGCACCTGGTGGCCTAGCGAACAGAATGGCTCATTTCGCGCGGTCCCGATTGTGCCCGCTGAGTTGGGAATCAGTGTCGTGAAAGCGCGCTGAAACCCGCAGAACCGACGTCTTTCGTCTTCCGTTCGCAAAAAGGTGACAGTCCCGTTTTGCGGGGTTTTGGTATTTAGGTTGGTGTGTTGCCAGCAGTGAGCAGGGAGAGAAAAAACACGAACACCCTCAATAGCCAGCACGTACTACCGTCTTGTTCACCTCTAGTGCGGTTTGTAGCAAGCGCAGTTTTCACGTAGTAGGTCGATCACAGTTTCCGAGCAAGCTCAACGAAGCCGCTCAACGAAGCCGGGAGCGTGTAGCCCTCTCTGCTGCTGTGGGTTCTGGATCTTGAGTTTGGTCGAAACTTCGCCCAAACTTCTGGAAGTAAAGATTCGTTGTAGTCTCCTTACCACACGCGCACGCTTCAACGCAGCAGCCGCTACCCTCCGAGTAGACATGAGTGCGCTATCGAAGGCTTCGCCTCTGAAACGCAAGCCAGTCGAGAGTAGCCAAATCTGATTTTTCTTTTGTTTTGAGTACTTTCTGCGAAGTCTCGGCGTTCCTATCTAATACATATTTTGTGNCCCCCCCACGTCCGGAGACCCTTGTACCACCCAATATCTGCGCCTGCTGCTGTACCTCACGTATTTTGTCAGGCAGCTTCACTATTCAGTTAGCGCTCGCGTTTATGAACCGCCAATCTCGTGTCGAGGCAATTTTTTTTCTTTGTTGCCATCGTCGAGCACACGTAATTGTGTTTAGCCAAGCGTAGGGTCCACGGCCCAGCTGTGTTTTTTGTCGACTTTTTTTATTTATCCGGGTATCTGAGCGTTTGTTTCCTCGAGGTTTGTTTCTCAAGCGCGGGCACTAACTGTACAACAATGCTGCTGTGCTTGCTTGTGACACGGGACATGGGTCCAGTTTGTATTTTTTTTGTAAATGAGTGTCCGTATGAGGACGCAAGGCAATGGCCAATGACCAAACCATCCCGCTCCGCTGTGTTCTTGCTGGTTTCGGTGATGAAGCTACCCAGAATAAGTTTTCGATGGATTTTGCTTCTTAAAATGGTTCGATCGAAGTACGCACAATCTAGGAGACAAGACACAGTTAGGGGTGCCAATCGGTCAAATTTCCTATAGGAAAAAATTTCGAAAAGTGTCCTGGATCTTCCAGATGGAAAATCGCTCGAGCCAAAAAAATCACATCGAACGTTCCGAAGAACCCCGCCAGAACCAAAAAACACCTGACGCCCCGCGAGCGCGAAGCGTGTGTGAACGCGTTCCGCCGTGCCGTGGAGGTTGCACACGGCACCCTAGCGGCACCCTAGCGCCGTCCGCAACCTAGCAAACATGCCTGGTGGCTCACTCGAACAGCCGCCGGGCGGTGGGACCGCGCGGACTCCTCCTGCTGGAGGAAGCAGTGCTCCTCCTGCTGCTGGCGAAAAAAACAGCAGCAGCGAGGAAGCACCCATCATCTACGCCCACCGCCTCCGCCTTCGCCTTGTCTCGTTCAGCCTCTTGCTTCCTCCGCTCTGCCTCTTGCTGCGACCGCTCTGCCTCTGCTCTCTTAGCCTTCTCCTCCTTTAGCGCCTCGGTGCTCTCGCGCGCGAGCTCCTGAGCCATGCTGCACTCAGCGGTGCTTGCCGCCTCGCGCTGTTTACTTTCGACCAACTCATGCTCCTTTTCTGTCAGCGCTTTCTGTGCGGCGGCAACACCGCCCCTTTCGACCGCACGCCGTGTGTTTGACGCTGCGCAGGCGGCGTACACAGACTGCCCCGACGCCTGTTCGTACTTTGCTTGGTTTTTCCTGAGGTTCTTCGCGGCTCGCCTGCTGCCGCCACCAAAAACGCGCCTCTCTTTTTTTTGGTTACGGTTTTTTTGCTGCTGTGCTTCCCTGACAGGCGCTGCAGGAGACCCGCTTGGAAGACCATTTTCAGACATGTAGATCTCGCTGTTGACTTGAGCGATTCCAGTTCGGTCTTTTGTGTTGTGTGGTCTAACTCCCAAGGTGGTGCACTGCAAGCTCGCTTTCTCAAGAAAGTCAGAGGCGGCCTCGGGCATTGGCCATACAGCTGAAATTTGTAGGTTTTTCTGGGTTGTTCATCCGCCCTATAAACTTAAGCATAAACCGAGCTTGCAGTGTCCTCTATTGGACTTGTGTCCAGATGTGTGCAACGTATGAAAAGCCACGTCGCTGCCTGGACGCAGAGCTACTTATACAAAGTACGGGGGATAAAGTATACTTTGATCGGTATGATTCAAGAGCTGACTTGAGAACCAAAAAGTCCGCGTGCCCCCCTTTTTTTTTCTCAAAATCCTCGAACAGACCGGTCACTTTTTTGCCGCCAAAATCGCCCCGATTGGCACCCCTAACAGTATTTTCACAGTTATACTCTAGTCACGGATACCCAAGCTACAACTGTGCCATCCGATTTGAATCCCTCGACGTTGTTTCCAGCGTCGCGGTCGCCCCCGTGGCGAGAAGACCTTCTAGTCTTTGTCGTTGCTATCGACTTGGCACCGGGGACCCAGTTGTTGGGGGCCCGTAGCTTTGAGTGTCGTGACCCCATAGTTGGGGTTAGGGGGCACCGTAAAGTCGAGAGTAGGGGGGCCGTGGGGGTCTAGTGTGGTAACCCTGTGCTCCGGGAAAGGTTACTTACGACGGTTCATTCCTTTTTGATCCACTGATGTTGTACAGGATGGACCATGACGGGTCATCAAGCAGTAATGCATCCCCACCCCTACCCCCACCCCCTCTCCTTTGTGTGTGCCCCCCAGTGGGCTTGCTCATACGGGCGTCTTGGTGCTGTAGCGCTGCTGCTAGACAGGGGAGCGGACGTGAGTGCTACCGATAACGAGTGCTGGACAGGCCTACACTGGGCTTGCCACACGGCAGCAACAGACACGGCAAGGTATGAGGAGAGAAGACGTGTTTCATGGATCAGGCGGAGCGAGAGGGGAGTGGGAAGAGAGAGGGGCCGCACAACGCTAGAGCAAGAGATATGGGGCGGAGAAGAGAAGAGAAGAACAGGGGGTGCTGCTTGGAAAGTGTCTGGGAGCTTTTGTGCTGTTGTGTAGATTCTTGCCTTCTTGCCTTGACTTCGTCTTCCACGTAAGGGAACCATGGAGGAGGTGTCTTGTACACAACCGCCTCTACACCAAAGCTTGCCCTTGCCCCCTCGTTGACCCAATGACAACGACATTCCTATTCCTCCTCCCCTCGGCTCTCAACGTGTGCATAGGCTGCTGTTGGAGCGCGGCGCGCCAGCCGATGAGAGGGACACGCAGGAATGGACCCCGCTTCATGTCGCTTGCCACTCTGGAAGAACCGACACAGTGCGGTATGATTCAAGTCTTTGCGTGTCTTGCGTGTATCGATATCTTTGGCTTGCGATGACCGCGCTAACCGGATTAGGTCAGCCATTAGGAAGACACCAATCTCTGCGTGGCGGGACTTGGAACTAGTGAAAATCATTTCTTGTCCGCAGCCTTCCTAGACAAAGATGCTCGGAGTGCCAGAGTAAACGGGAGGCTTCTTTCTACCGCTGGCTTTTTTCTCTCCAGACAGCGTTTCAGTATATTGTACGTACAGTATGCTCAAAACATAATGCACGGATGGTTTTGCGGAAACTTCCCCCACGGGACGATGTTTCACTAAATATCAAGTGGTACGTCCCCAAACGCGCTAGAACCCGTCGGTGGGTTGTACCGTAGGTACCCACGAAGCGAAGGTATATCCTGGCTTCATTGCCGCGTGCGGAGTGCTCAACAGAACTTAGATTGGTGGACTGCCATCGTTTCTCTTTCTGCCCGTGGGTTCGCGCAAGCTTTTTCGGTTACTTGGTCGCTTACGCTGAAGGAACAGGATAAAACAAGAAGTATGTACCCACCCGATTACCTATTTAGCTGTCTTGTCTTGTGCCGCACTCTGCCCGAACGACCGTGTGATGCGTACCGCACGTTCTGTAGGTTTCTGCTGAGTGCTGGGGCCACCGTGTCTGCGAGAACGGACAAGAACTTGACGGCTTTGCATATCGCCTGCGAGAGCGGCTTTACCGACACAGCCAGGTGGGTGGCTGTTTTTGGTTTTTGGCTGATCCTAGGGCAGGTGGCGTCGTCGAAAGTCGAAGCGTTTAAACGACATCGTTGGCCAAACCACAGGGCGGACAAGTTAACGACAAGGGGGACGAAGAACTCCTCCTGTAGAACCAACCTGCCGGATGGTTGTACCGAAATGTTTATTTTTTCTGTCCGCTGCCACGACAGATAGCTCTTTGTGGTAGGGATGCATGAGAATCCGGGAGGGCATGAATTCATATGGTCGGGGGGGAGGGGAATGTAGGACCAGAGAGGGTCGGACCACCCATCGTCATGACCATCATCATCATCATCATCCACAACCCCGTCTACGAGTAGACAACCCTCAGACTTCCTTTGCCCCCACATGATTTTCCACCCTTTCATCCTGTCGTGTGTTTTTTTCCCGTCCAATACCGCTCCTCCTTGTCTTGTTTGCGTTGACCCCCCCCCCCCCCTCGCCTTGGCTTGTCGAGGCAGGCTGCTGCTTGATGCCGGGTTGCTCGTCTCTGCAGTAGACGATGAGGCCTACTCGGCACTACACCTCGCCTCCGCGGGGGGGCACACGGACGTGGTTCGTCTCCTGCTGCAGGCCGGTGCAGAGGCGAACTCTTCGACGGAGAGGAACCACAGGCCGTTGCACCTAGCGGCGCAGTACGGGCACACTTCCGTCGTCCACGTGCGTGATGGTTTGGATGGTGTGGATGGTTTGGACGGCTTGGACGGTTTGGATGGATTGGTGTAAGGGGTTGTGATACTTGTGATGGGTGATGCCGGGGTTTGCTTGAATACCGTATCAAATATGAGCATTCCGCTACCCGACTTGAACAATAAACTTCCGTCAACGTACAGCAGTCGTGATTTCATTGACCTACACGAGTCGTGATTCCAACAACCCGGGTGCTGCTGGTATAAGTCTTGGTTCTTCGACGCTGGTGTACTGCTATGTTGTTGGATTTGTTGGATGTCGGCGATGGATGTGGTTGGTCTTTTGGCTGAGACGTCGGAAGTCGACGCTGTCGAACGAAATCAAGACAGTCTGTGTAGTCTTGAAGCGCGGACGCCACCACCCTCTCTAGTTCCGCGCGTCCCATGGGTCTGTGGCGTGTTTGTTGTGTTTTTGAGTTTGCATCAACCGCGCTAACCGCCTATCTGGTGAAAAACGACAGTTTGCGGCAGGAAAGGAGTGCGCTAAAAGAACGCGTTTTATCGTCATCGGGCTCCGCCTACGGTAGGGATGCGGGAGAAGTTGTACCTCAGGATCCAGTCTCCGACACGTTGTTGTCTGTTTGCGGCGTATGATGTCTTCCTTCCTTACGGATTCTCGGTGTCCTGTGATGAACAAACTCGACAATAGTTTTCCTTTTTTCGTTCTGCTCGTGTTTCGCTCTGTGCGTTGGGCAGCCTTTGAATAGGCCCGCGCCATCCGTTTCTCTCGTGCAAGAGGCTTTTTGCATGGCAGTCTCTGTGACTACCCTTTTCTCTCTCTGCCCATACCCTTGCTTCCAGTCCTGTCTGGATGCCTCTCTCCCGCAGCACTGGTGTTACTTGTTGCCTTTCTCTCTTGCATCGTTTTCTCTCTTCTGTTTTATTTTTTTCAGCTTTTGCTCGAGGCAGGGGCTGCTGTGGATGTTCGAGATGACGGCAACTACACCCCGACACACCTCGCGTGTACCTACGGACACACAGAAACTACCAGGTGCGGTGCGGGAACCCTCTCCCTCGGGGAAACGACAGATAACAGTCAGGTCGTGTACCATGGCAGGGGTGTTGATATATTGTCTTCGGCGACGAGAGTGCGTTAGGCGTGATGAGCACTCAGACGTTCTGTTCTTGAGGTGTTCCTTAGCCCTTGCATGAATTGAGGGTTGAGGGTGATGTGAGTGACCTGCGCTTGCCTATGTATTGCCTATGTATCGAGACGTGTGCTTTTAAGTTTTTCGATGGTCTGAGGTGTGCAGCAGATGACTACCCCGCCCCCGCGTGGATGCTATTGGCGTCTGCCTTCAGTGGTGCCCTCCCCACTGGTGGCGGTCTTTTCCTGGTTTTTGGCATGCAGAGTGAGAATGCTGTCGATGTTTCTCGTCTTTGTCTCTCTCGTCATTCCAACGTGCCTGCCTTGTCTCCAGCCTGTAGCCTCTTTTCTTATGTCGCACGGTTCACTTGATCACTTGATGTTTGGTGTTTGGATTGAATACCACACAGACCAACATAATGTCGGACGTCGACGCGCAGAAGATAGCGGACAAGTGGGGCGAGTTCCAACAAGCCGTCGAACAGACCCCCCGGGTCATGGAGAAGCTCCCTTACAAATAATATTTGTAACGGAGGTTCTTCATGACCCGCGGGGTCTGGTCGACGTCTTGTGGAAGTCACCCCACGTCTCCGCTATTTCTGCGCGTCGACGTCCGACATGATGTCCGTCGGTGGGCTCGAACATGGGAAAATCGGTGGAGAGCAAAGTGCCAAAGTGCCAGAGTGCTGTGCGGGGGGTTGGGGGCGGGGAGCGGCGGAAAAGTCCGCAACGGCTGCGGTGGGATACTGGATGCGAAATCTCTTCTCGGCGAGGAATGAACGAACGAACGGCCTAAACTCGTGTCACGTCGCAAACCTCTATTTCCCTTCCAAGGCTTCTGCTGGAGTACGGAGCCGACGTCGAGGCCCTGGATTCTGAGGAGTGGTCCCCCTTCCACTGGGCCTGCCAGCTGGGGAACGTTTACACCGCACGCCTCTTGATGGCAAGAGGTGGGCGTGTTCCGATTTTTCTTAAGCGTTGTTGCTTGCTCTCTGCTATTTACCACCACCATTTTGCAAGTTCCATCACCAGCATTACCATTACCATGCTTCCTTTACCGTTACCTTTTTGCGATTTCCATTACGATGTTGCCATTACAACTTGCTATTCTGCCATTGCCATTTTCGTTTTTGTGGTTATGGGCGGGGTCATGATGAGAAGGGAGTGGGGAGTGTCGGCGACAGCGGTGGGTGTTCCATTTTTTTGGGCGTTCCCTCCCGCCCCCCGGTATTTGCCATCGGGGTTGGGTTTTCGTCGCTTGGCAACGACTTAATAAAGCAAGCCGCCCCCCCCGGTGTTTGCCATCGGGATTGGGTTTTCGTCGCTTGGCAATGACGTTGTAAAACAAGCCAATTCACTTCGTGAACTCGGGCAACCAGGTTACCGTGTGTTTTTTAACCTCCGTTTTTTTTGGCGGTAACCACAATGGTGGTCGAGTAGATCATGTTGTGCGGGGTGGAGAACCCTCACTCCGCGCAAGGGGGATGATCGAACCACGTTGTGTTAGCATGGTCAAGCACCCTCGAGGCAGTTACACAGTGCTTACAACTGTCTCTGGAAGTGAAAGCACCAGAAAATAAACTAAGTCATACGCAGCTGTCATCCGTATGCAAGGAAGTAAGCACAAGATGCCGAACACCCTTAGCAGGATGCAGCGCACCCTTCATGCGACTCGCCGAACACCTCACGGCGCTTCGCGCTTGGTGATGTGAGAGCCTGGTCCGGTGAGAACCCGGCGTGCTCCGTCCCGGCTTTGTAGGGATGCGAGGTGAATGGTCTAACGACTACGGCATGCACGACTATGAGTACACACACACACACACCCCTCCCCGCCGTTTGTATGACACGTTGCCGCGAGGGTAGAGAAAGCCACCGATGATCGGACGTGTCTGTCTCTGCGAGGAGTAAAGGAACGGTGACCCGTCTCGTAGCCGACTGTTGACCAATGGTCGAATGACCAAGAGGCACGCGTCTTGTCTTGTCTGTTGTACGCATACCCTCGAAGGTGCCAACAGAGCGGCTCGTACCTCACGAGGACACCAGGCCCTGCACCTCGCGGCTGAGAACGGGCACACAGAGACGGTCAGGATGCTGCTCGACAACGGGGCCGACCCGAACGCCAAGGACGAGGTATGCATGCCATACAAGGAGAAGAGCAGCGAGTTACCTGAGCACCTGTAACAAGTAGCAGGTTTCGTAATATTCAGTGTTCCACTCACCCTGATGTGCTTGCTGAAAGCTTAAGGTTATTTCTCCACGACGGAGATGGCGCCGACGGCAGTCAAGTCATGCATTTCAACGAAACCTCTAAATGAAACGATTCCAACGCCTCTTCCGCCATTTCGGCGCCGCCGCTATATTTGCCGGAGAGTAATCGATGGATCAATGACAATCGGTTCATGGTGTGGGTGTGGCACCGTACAGTGAGGCAACAAACCAGGCCTTGTCGTTGCTAGAGAGAGGTGAGCGAGCGTGTGTTCGACCAGATGTACCCAAAGTAGTCAATTCCATTAATATTTGCAGAAAATATGATGACGATATTTCCAAGCAGGCCGCCGGCAACGGTTCGGTTGTTTTGGTACATTTTTCGGCACGCTCGACCAGAAGAGTTCCCACCATGCGGTGTACATAGTCCGTGTTGCCCACCACGATTGATGCTCATGCGGTGGCAATCCTTTGTTGTTTGCCCTCTTGCTTACCCTTTCTATGCACCTCTTTCTCTCCTCTCTCTCCTCGCCTTGTGCCCTATGTTGTCGAACATTGTCGCAAGGTCCTCTACACTCCACTCCACTGGGCGGCCCAGTACGGACACCTCGAAGTGGCTTCACTGCTCCTTGCCAAGGGAGCCGGGCCCAGCCACCAAGCGGACTATCTGGACACACCGTTGCACCTAGCGTGTCTCCTCGGACACGGCGCAGTGGTTTTGCTGCTGCTCGAGAACGGCGCAGAGCCTTCGGCGTTGGATGAGGACGGGAAGGTAGGCAGGGGCCGTGTCCAACTTTTGTGCACCGTACGTGGCAGGACGTTGCCAAGCCCCCTGGATTGGCTTTCAAACCTTGATTTGCAGCAGTGACGATGCCGAAAGTGGCGGCGTTAGAACCGTCTCGTCGGGAGCTGTGTACAGCGTATAGTTTGATTTTTTCATCCTTTCATCCTTTTGGTATTGGAGTACGACGTATGGGTATGAGAGTTAATCTTCGGTCCAGTGGGAAAGGTATGCTGTGCGACCTCGTTGTCGTTATGTTGGCTGTATTTCTAGCAGGCACTTAACCTTAATGGAATGTCTATCCATCATCACTGTTTTTGTCGTCGTTACTTGGTTATTTATTTTCCAGCTACCGGAACAGGTGGTTGGAATGGCGGAAGGGTCGAACATCACCACAGCTGAAAAGGAGGCGATAGCCGAAGCAGTCATGGAGAGGCGAAGGCTCATGTCGCCGGGAGGGGTGGGAGAGTCTGGTGAGAGGGCCTACAGCTGTAGCGTGACGGTGTGTTTGCCACCGCTTCGTGTGTACGGGTCGGTGTGTGTTGTTTTTTTCGTTAGATCCCTGCAGGGACAACGGGCGGGACCGTGTGGGTAACTAACTGGTTCAGTGTTTGGATCGGATACTGCACAGACCACAGACCAACACCATGTCGGCCGTCGACGCGCAGAAGATATTGTAGCGGAGAAGTGGAGCGAACCCCATGAAGACAGTAGGATAGCCCTTAGATTTCCCGCCTTGGAGTTTTATGTGCTTATTATATAAGAGTGTCGACGAATTAGTTGTTTTCCTTGCTCGTACATCAATTGGTTCTGCGGAAACGTTTGGTCCATTGCTGCAGCAGAAGCGATCATGGGCTAGGAGTCCAGAGGTTGGACGGAGAAGTCAGGTTGGATTAGCCCCCAATCCCCGTACATGTTGGAGGGTAACGGCGCCATTGACGGCACGTACCTGATGACAGCAGCTGCACCATTATTGCCGCGAGCCATGACATATCTGTTCTGTGTTTGGCTCCGGATGTTAATGTTAACAATGCCAACGCCAACGCTGTTTTAACACCACGCCAACGCTGGCGGCCTTGCCTTACCTTGCCTTACCTTGTCGTGGTTGTACTCCTCTCGTAGCCAACCTACCACACGGGACTGCCAGCCTACCACACGGTCGACAAAGCGGCGGCGGCGGCGGCGGCGGCGGCGGCGGGAGCTCGGAAAGGCTGTTACCGCTGCCGCGCTCCATGGCCATGGCTAGGAGTACAGCGCCGGTGGCGTCGGATCTGATGATCGGCCGCTTCGCGTACGAAGGAGCTACAGAAGAAGAGGACGATGACGACGACGACGACGAGGACGAGGACGAGGAGGAAGAGGAGGGGAGTCAAGACGAGGGGGGGGGGTTGACGATGCAGGGAGTAGTGCACGCCAGAAGGCTACAACCACGCGACGGCATGGGCCCCTCCTCGTCTGAAGATGGGGGCCGCGGAATGGAGGC